TTTTCAGTCAAAGATGGAGAAACTCCATACATTCAGTAAAAATTTAACCTGAAGAAAGTTGGGGAAACCACTAGGCCGTTCAGGTATTATTATTATTATTATTATTATTATTATTATTATTATTACATAATGAAAAGAAGCAAAATTACAGAACAATACAATTATGCATATATACAGAAGTATTCAAATTTGCAATTGGAACAAAGTTTTAACATTTTAACAATAGTGCAAATATGTTCAGAATGATAAATCAATTTGTGCATCAGTGCTTCATAAAAATCAATAAAATACTTCAAACGGAAGGTGTCCAAGGTAATAGGGCATGTGAGTATGTTATAGATTTTAGCTATGAAAATAGCCATGATTTTCAGTTTGGCCCCAGATCGCCAAACACCCCAGATGCTATCCCCCGGGTCCTACGGTGGTCAATTTTATTAGCGGGCTACCAATATACACTCCTGCACAGGTCTGGCAAGGAGATGAGGTACGCCGACACCATGAGCTGCCTGCCTCTGCCTACGTGTGACCCCAAACCTGCCCCGGCCCATCTCGTTGCCATGATAGAAGACCTACCTGACCAGCCGGTGCAGGTCTCTGAGGTCGTCTGACACCCCCCACGCGACCCCGTCCTGTCCCGTGTCTTGGACTGGGTGGGAAGGGGATGGCCCTCAGGCTTGGTGGGGCCCGAATGTACTGCCTTCGCCTCCAGGAAAGGAGAACTATCCACCCACAAAGAGTGTATATTGTGGGGTGGTCAGGTGGTGGTGTCGCAGCAACTGAGAAAATGGGTGATCGAAGCTCTCCATGACACACACCCAGGGATTGTACAAATGAAAGCGCTCACCCGGAGTTATATCTGGTGGCTGGGCCTCAATAGCGAGATAGAGGACAAAGTACAGCGGTGCCAGAACTGCCAAGAGTCCCACCCGGAACCACCAAAGGCCCTGGGAATCTTCACACAAGCCATGGGCCAGGCTGCACCTGGATTTCACGGGGCCCTTTCAGGGACAAATCTTTTTTATCTTAGTGGATGCCTACACAAAACGGCTGGAGGTAGTCCTCATAGCCTCCACCTCGTCTCAATCTACAATCCGTGCTATGTGGCAGATTTTTAGCACCCACGGGCTACTAGACACATTGGTAACTGATAACGGGATGGCATTTACATCCACTGAATTCCAGGAATGTACCCAGTATTATGGCATCCGACACATACGCTCGGCCCCATTCCACCCAGCCACCAATGGACAGGTGGAGAGAATGGTACGGATGACCAAGGATGTGTTCCGCCGCCTGGACCCTGGGGACTGGGAGTATAAACTTGGCAGCCTTTCTCTTTGGCCAACGCATGACCCCACACACAACCATCAGTCGTTGCCCAGCAGAACTGCTCATGGGTTGGTACCTCACCACCCGGCTAGACCGCCTCCACCTGGACCGAGCACCAGAGCACAATGGCACCCTCGAAGATCAGGCAGCAGCTCGAAGATTCTTCCCAAACAACCCAGGAAGGAATTATACTCTTGGCCCTTCATGGATCCCCACCACAATCATCCGGGTCACAGAACCATGCTCATACTAGGTGTCCTGTGAAGATGGTCAGCTAGTAAAAAGACACATAGACCAGCTGTGACACCGCCTACTCAACCCGGCTCCAGAAGAGAACAAAGTGGAGGAACCAGAGACCAAGAGGAACGACAATGGAGCACTACCTCAGGCAACCCAAAATGAAGAACAGAAAGAACTAGACAGCAATGGCCCTACCCTGAGCACAGCCGCAAGCAATGACACACCACCCCTTGAGGCCGCAACCCCAACACCTCCGCCTGAGGCGACCTGCCCTGAGACCCGAACACAGAGCCCAGAAGTACGCCACTCTTCAACGATTCGGTGCAAACTCGGCTATCTACAAGAATATGTCTGCTAGAGAAAGGTCCGAACTATGGGGTGAGGGGTGTTGTGTTCCACCGGGGACCATGTGCTAGCAGGGCAAGGACATGGTCCTCCAAGCAACTGGAGCTTCGTTCCGGAGACAATAGGCTCCAAGGATCCTAATCCCAACCTATCGACAGGCCCAGATCCTCAAGGGAACCCTATCAAGTTAAGAAGTATGTAAATAGATGAATCACAAGTGTGTGTGTATGTGTGTGTGGGTTGTCTGTACACATAAAAGCAGCCGTCGGGCTCGCCCCCGTATCTCAGTTTTCTCTGAAATTACAAGTCAAGTATGAGCTGAATCACTTTGATATGCATCAGTCTCAGTACTTTATAAATACTTTGGCCACCAAATGAGAAGGGAGCATTCACTGGAGAAGACCCTGATGCCGGGAAAGATTGAAGGTAAAAGACGAAGGGGACGACAAAGGATGAGATGGTTAGACAGTGTTACCGATGCAACAGACATGAAATTGAGCAAACTCTGGAGGACAGCGGAAGACAGGAAGGCCTGGTGTGATGTGGTCCATGGGGTTGGGAAGAGTCAGACTCGACTGTGCTACTCAACAACAACAAATGGAATGAAGCACTTCCTGTGGAGTGGGAAGCTTGGCTCAATTCAGATCCAGTTTAAGGACTCTTTGATGATTCTGCATTTTAAAAAACCTGGATGGTTACTTATGCTCTGTCCACTGTCTGAAACTGACAATTTTAATTGCTAATAGTTTTGCATGAAAATAAGCATCTTTTCCCTCCTCCTCTTGGCAATATGCCCATTGTCATCTGTAGAGTATCTGTAAGATACCTAGGTGTGTGTCAGGGATAAAATTAAGAGGCAGTCAGTCTCCAAGATGAGAAAAAGCACTCTCTCTTAGCCAATGATTGGGAGGGAATATGATTCCTTTTGTGCTTCCTTTCAGTACTCTGGCCATACATTCTGTCAGAGGGATGAAAAGATTTTTCCAGTTCTGGAGCTAACAGCTAGTCTTTAAATAAGGTATTAAAACAGCACATTCAGTGCATTCAACATTATTTTAAACTTAACCAAAATGAACATTAACTAAGTATGTGAATGCAACCAGACACTTGCTACATTCTTTTCCCCAAACAATTTTACTAATGCTCAGTACCGTGTCCAAATTTGAAATCTTTTTGTGAGCCTTTTATATCTGATGAAAAAGAATATTTTGAGCCACAAGGAGACTGATAGTAATTCCAGTCACATTTTCCACTAATGCTAACTTATCTGTCTGTGAATTTCACATGCCTTTTGCAATCTTTGTTAGAAAGGTAATGCATGTTCTTCTACAACAACTGTGAACATTTAAAAAGAAAACCAAATCCCCTTCACCCTTTTCCTAAATTGTTTTTGTGTTTCTCAAGAGAAAATTGTATTTCAGTCCCACATGCCTGAATGAACCTTGAAGAAACTTTTCTCATGGTGCCCTTCTGCCCTTGTGCACTGCTAATAATTGGTACTTATTTTTCAGAAACTCATACTTTCCCATGATATCTGAAGTAGCAAACTTTGCCTTGTGCTTAGCCTCACATTCAATTGGAAATGGGGAAGATTTTAAAATTTGCACAACCTCACCTTGTTTGTAATGGCTTGGAGCCCACAGATGATTTTGGTGAATGAAAGAAGGGAAATTTTCACCAATCTCTCCTCCCACTGTAGACCTTTGACTCTCCCAGAGCTGTTCATGAGAGTTCCATTTTCCTTCAGGAGAAGTATGCTGGAAGATATTTTAGGCTGCAGTGGAAGAACAGAGACAGGGAAGTCCCATTTCATGGACTTATATTTCTCTTATATCCAGAGAAATCTCTGGTGAGTCCAATCAATTTTTGTTCACCATGAAGTCAAGCACCTGAAATGATTGCCTTAATGATTGCCTTAATGATTGCCCACAGTTCAAACAAAACTGAATTTCAAACAGTTTTGCACATATATAGTTGTGGCATTCAGCTTCACACATGCTCACAAATCAATAGCTTGTTTGGTTTACCTATTGTTCAGGGACATTTTGGGCATGTCACACAATGTTTAAAATCAGCTTCAGCAGATTACATTTGCTTCTTTTGTGTCTGAACAGTTTGTAGCATTCATCATGGATTAAGGCACAATTTACAGGTGCCATGTGAGAATCTGTTGAACCAATTTATATAAATTATGAACATGGCCACCCTTGGCTTTGGGAATCATGCAGGAGGACACAATCCAGAAGCTTAGAATGGAAAGACAATTCACACAGCTCCCCCCACACACACACACACCTGGACTGAAACATCTTTATCTTATGGATTTTATTAACACAGAGATGATATGTGCTTCTGTAAAGCATTTGTGATCTGATTTCTTGATGTTTGAAATTGTATCACTTTTTAAACTAAATGCTGTTTCTAAGGCTTGAGGGGACTTTTCATAAAGTGAAGTCAAATTTTGATCAGGACAGAGGTTTGGATCCAGCTAGTTTGTTTTCTGATGAAAAAGAAAGGAGGATTTCCCTTTTACTACCAAGAAAGGTTATGGTTAGTATCACTGGAGCTACATGTACCAAAACTAGGTGGGATACAGACTGTTGCAAGAAGAAGAATTGGGTCAGAGAGAGTAGAAAAGCTGGCTGGATGCAACAGAATGATATTTGAGCATCTCTGCTTGCAGAGGGCTTGCCTAGGGAGGATCATGTGTAAGCCTGAGTTTTTTCCCTGAGTATTCATGTAGCATCAAACCACGCAACTCAGGCGTAATCATAATCTTCATGCCATTTGCTCTCTTTCCTTTTCACATCCACTGCCTTTGGGAAAGAAGAGACTATTAGGCTGCGGTCACACACACTAAATAATCCACTTTCAGTACACTTTCCAATTGGATTTTTACTGTCCGAACTGGCAAAATCCAGTTGGAAAATGCATTGAAAGTGGATTATTTAGTGTGTGTGACCACAGCTTTAAATTAATATCACTATTTTTAATTCTAGTGCTTTCAATTCATCTCTCAAATGAGGATTTAAAAAAATTATTTGGACCTGTATTTATGTTCTCTAAGTCTATGGGACTGCGTGAACATGGTGCCTGTGGACTCATTTTCAGGGACATATTTACCTGTGCTCCTGGATGTGTACTGGACTACTGGATGTACTGAAAATAACCTTGGATTTCTACAGAAAAAGAAAACCAAAACCTGCATAGAAGATATAACTGTTTATAACTGCAGAATGTATTTGCCCTTTATAACACTGTTAAATTTTAGTAAAATGAAAACTGATAAAGAATATAAAAAGCAAGAATACTATCTGACAGGTATGTAGATCTATTTTTCCATGAACAGATCACCACCCACTCCAAAAATGAAATGTGACAGAAATTTATAGAATTGCAAGACTCACTTAGAACACATTGAAAATATCTGACACAAATCTCTGATATATCTATATATCTAATAGCCAAGTTGCCCCCTCTATGCGGATATCTAAATCCACACATCGGGGGCACATCAGGGGCAGAGAGATTTTCCTTCACACTTGGGGCAGTCCCCAGGTGTGCAGAAAAATCTGAAAAGTTTAAAAAACTATAGGGGGGATACTTAAATCCCCACAAAAGTAAAAAAGCATTCCCTGCACATGCGCAGAGAACGCACTTACCTCTGGGATCTGTGGCAGAGCCACGCAGGGCTCACCGCAGTTGGTGCTGGCGGTGGCAGCGGGGGTGGCGGCTAGAAGCCACAGCCACCACTGTCGGAGACGGGGGGGAGAAGCCTGACAGGCCCCGCAACCAGGGGCTGAGCCCGTTGTTGCCGCGGTGGGGAGGGGGGAGAGAAGCCTGGTGGGCCTGACAGCTCACAGCCGCACAGGGCTTGCCACTGTTGTTGTGGGTGGCGGGGAGAAGCCTTGGCAGCCCGGGAGCCGTGAGGAATACACCAACCCCACGAGTATCACGGGTCCTGCTTCTTGTATTATACATAAAGATGTTCAGGCTGCATTGATTCATAATTGTATCAGACGGGCTAGGCATTGTAACTGCTAGACAGAATGATAAAGTTTGATACCCACGAAGTCCGATTCAAAATGTTGATTACTCAAATTGTTAGGAAATAGGATGTTTTTATATCTAGTGGGTGAAACACTAGCAGTGCCATCCTAAGCAGGTCTATTCATAATCCTACTCATCCAGTTAATGTTGGTTACTCCTCAGAAAGTGTCCTTAGAACTGCATTGTAAGGGAACATATCTAAACAGGTCAGAAGTATTTCTCACTTAATTCAATAGGACTCTGGAAAGTGTGCATAGCCTTTCAGCCAGAGGCTTGTATCCTCCTGTTTTGCTCAGCAAAATTTGAAGTCTTCTTCCAGCCAGAGAAAGAAGCTAGTTCTTTTGGAACAAGGCTTCAAACATTACTGAGAGAGTGGTAGGACAGCAAGCAAATTCTTTCTCTTACTAACATCTAGCACTCCATCAGACAGAAAGCCAAGCCAGGTAAGTAATGGATTGCCAGCATGGGAAATGAACGGGTTAATGAACTAGCCTTTGATTGGAAAAAGTTGCAATCAGAAATCAGGCAATGTTTACAGAATATATTAGCATGCAAACTAAAAGTCACAGGGATGAATGTTTAGTTATTTTTAAAAATAAAATATTTAAATTGAAGTTTCTACAAAAGAGTGAAAAATAATCATATTTGTTGTTTAGTGTAGACATTATTGTATAAATTAACTAGACATTACAGATTTATAGCTGGAAACAAGAATGGCCTGACCCCACATGTACAAGGTAATCATATAAACAATACAGTATAGCAGGGGAAAAGATGGAGGAAGGAAGAAACAGAGAAAGAGACCTATTGATAATTGTAATCAGGGAATCCTAACTGAAGTGGGACTTAAGCATGTCAAATTCTGGATCTCAGTGTATAGGGCCTTCTAAGCATGTGGAGCAGTTGTAGCAGAAACAGGTAAACAAGTTTTAAAAGTACAAAATCCTTTCTTTAGGAAGAGCAAAAGTAACCATGTAAATGCAAAGTGTGGGAATGTGGTGGAATGGTGCCACTCTGTTTCAGCTCTCCAGGGCATTTAGGTACCAGCTGTCAATCATTGTCTCCACTTGGTGAAGTGCAACTTTCTCAGCTCACTTGACTCTTAGAAGGATTATCTCAATGCTTCTTCTTTTGTGCCCTGCCACCAGCTAGTCAATTTCAGCACAACTTGCTAAGAGGGTCAGCACCCCCTCCTTCCTTTCTGTGTTGCAAACAAAGGCTCCACCTAGTGTCCACATCTCCTGCAACTCAATGACTGATTACCAGGAGGACAACTTACTACATCTGCTCATTCTGGGGAATATGTGATCTAGCAACTAACTACATCCCTTCCCTAGCACCTGTTCAGAACACTGTGTTTGAATAGTGGAGTCTAAGTGGTACAGAAAACCACTACCAGCATTTCAAATAGTAAAGAACACATTAAAAAGAAAAGCTCCATGCTAGGCTTACCAAGTGCCGGCGGGGAATCCGCATGTCTTTACAGGATCCCTGCCGCGGGGACGGCGATACGCGTTGCACCCGCCGTCGCCAGGATGTGACGTTACACGTCGCTCTGGCAACGGGACTCCAAACAGCCCCATTGCCAGAGCGACACGTAGCGTCACATCCTGGTTACGACAGTGCAACGCATATCGCCGTCCCTGTGACAGGGATCCTGTAAAGACATGCGGATCCCCCGCCAGCACTTGGTAAGCCTACGAGTCCATGCACATACTCTACACAGCAATACATTGAGCAAGGATTACAAAGAAAGGGTGTAATAATGCAATCCTCTATCCCTCAACTGTATATATGCCCTAGATGATCTTATTCTAAGGCAGCTCTTAGAAATTCTAAGGCAGGCTTAGAAATTACAGTATTCTAAAAGCTTCTTGTTATCTTTAAGTCTTTGTCTGGGCGGGCAACCCTTTGTTTGTTCCATGCTGAAATGGCCACCATCCAAGAAGAAGCTCAGTGTGAGAGCTCACTCCTACAAGTTATCTCCAGTTCTTATCAGCCAAAATGGAACCTTCTCCCTCTGTAACAAGGGATTTTCTCTCTTCTGTCTGTCCACCCTTTCTGTGGGATTTTCTCTCTTCTGTCTGTCCACCCTTTCTGTGGGTCAAATCTCTTCTTACTGGTGTCACAAGCAAGATCCTATCTAGCTTCCTACATTCCAAGTTATCTGTCACCTTCTGCGAGTCAAGATTCCAGTCCAGGTGTGAGCTGGCTGTTTCATTGTCTCTGGCCAGGATGGCCATTTGCATTTGCAAGGTTTTGATGGCACTGTCCTCAGTAGAGCCATTCACAGGATGGGTGATACGCTGGAGCAATCAACTACCCCTTCCTGCCTGTCTTCTACTCACAGAGAAAAGCTTTTCAAAACCAAGTGTAGGGTTTGTGCAGAGCTCAAGCCTCAAAATAAAATGCATTTCCTCAGATAAGAAGTAAAGGAAAACAAACAAGGAAGCTAAAAGGGAGCCAAAGATCGAATGCAGTGGAATTAATAACAAAATCTAAAGCTTTGGGCTTTCTGTTTGATATACCATCCACAGGTACGTGGCTTCCACAGGAGGATGATTCTCAGATGTTTTCTCATTGCTGCTGTGACTGCTAATTCAGGGCAGCAGCAAGCAAGCTTCCACAAGATGGGTTTCCTTGTAGTTCCCCTCTTCCAGCCTCCCATCCCTGGCAATCATTTCTCTCTACCACACCGGAGGGATTTTTCAGGTTTTTAAAAAGTGATAATCGACAAATTGCTGTAGGTCACTAGTCACCTAAGTGTTTTACAGTGTGCTCCAAAAAATACAGTCCTGCTCAAAATAATTTACATTTACAGAGTACTCTTTGTAATGTTTACAGAGCAATTATATTCATCCTGGAACAGAACATACAGGAAGATAGAATCCTTCTGTCATTAACAAGTTAGCCTAAAATGAGCCTGGGGCCCACTGAAGAGAAACGAGACTTCCGTTATTTTATTCTAGTGAGAACACAGGGTATTCCAGCATGTAAAAGGACAAATGAAACATCAAGAGGTGGCTGATCTTGTCATGTTCAATGTGAACAGCAACGTACGTATTCAAATCTTTTATTCTTTAACCTTCCAATTCTTTCGTTTTGAGCACGAAAGAAGCATATGCTGTGCGCTGAAGAATCACTCTTTCATTCTGTTCACTGAATGTTAAATGTGAAAGAGTCATTGGTGTCAGAAGCACAATGCCACTATTATTGGCTTAGTTATGCTAGAATTTCCTAACAAGAAGGTAAGGGACTGGTAGGCCTTATTGCTGCAAAACTAATGCTGCTTTAGCTTCAAAGACAGGTAAGGTAACAAATTAAAACAAACATTGCATAAAATGGAGGGAGGAAATGATAATGCCTAATAACCCTCTTATTAAAAACAGCAAGATTCTACCAAGCTGAAGCATACCTGGAACTCAGAAAGCTTCTTACTTCCGTCTTTAGAAGTTTATATTTATAAGGATCATTTCTAACCTATTTTGGAACAGATAGAACAGGACACTTATATGACTTAAGGCTAAAATTCCACTGAAGTCCACTGGATGGAATACTGTATTTACTACCAATGTATGTGGTGAAAATATGGCAATGTGAAATGTGTAAGACTGGATCCAGTGTAGGTGCTCATGGAATGGGTTGGTAGAGTGGACCTTTCAGTGTTTAACCAGATGCCTCCATGATAAATGCATTTTCTTGTCACACCAAAGGAGTAAATGATTGTGCCCTGGAACAGCAGGTCATGGAACTGACCAGAGGGGAAGTGATCCTGGACTTAATTCTCAGAGGTGCTGTCCAGGACCTAGTGTGAGATGTGGAGAGGGTTGAACCGACTGGAAACAGTGATCACAATGGCATAAAATTTAATTTACAAATATGTGGGAAAGTGCCAGGAAACATCAACATGGTTATATTTTACTTCAAAGGGGAAAAAAAGAAGTTGAACGTAACAATTAAGAGGGTCAGGTCTCTTGAAAAGGCTGAGGGGTTACTCAAAACCTCAATACTAGAGGCGTAGTTGGAATGTAATCTACAAGTCAAGAAAAGTAGTACAAAGTTGCCCTGACCTGGATAGCCCAGGCAAGCCCAATCTCATCAGATCTCAGGAGCTAAGCAGGGCCGACCCTGGCAAGTATTTGGATGGGAGACCTCCAAGGAATACCAGGGCCATGACAGAGAGGCAGGCAATACCAAGCCACCTCTCTGAAACATCCCTTGTCTTCAAGCCCCACCAGGCAGACATGCACACACACACACACACACACACA